CCCCAAAACCCCAAAACCCCAAAACCCCAAAACCCCAAAACCCCGAGGTAGGCACAAAGGATTGAGTTCAAAATTAATATTTTTGAAAGTAATGGTTACCATTTCTTGCCTCAAGCAATGCAAATTAAAGCATATTTAAAGGCAAGTTGCTATAGATTAATTAAAATCTAGTCTGTTTGGAAAACTTTTCTAATACATTTCATCACATTCTTCTCCTTCCCCGATTCCTTGGACCTGCATGGCCTCAGGGACGAGGATTTCATTCTCTGTATCGTTGATAGCAATGATCTCTTCACTGTTCTCATCCATTTCTTTGTCAATGCCAAGATTGTTGGGCAGTCCAAGCTCTTGTGCGCCCATGAAAGTATCTGAATACTCTTCATCCAGCATATTACTCCTATCTTGAGGATTCCCTCCATCATAGTGTGATAAAATGTTATCTTCATGAATTTGATGATGGAACTTATGAACCTCTTGTTCATCGATTCCAAGTCAATTGAATTGTTGCCCTTCAATCGATTCATAAGCAGCTCCTCTATGCCTGGAATGCTTATGCGGCTTGCTTAAAATAGTGTAATACGGATTTTTCCCTCAGTTTTTACACCCGTAAATTGGCATCGCTCTCCCTCTCACAGTCAGATCTTTACAACTCGAAGGATATTCGTCATATTCCTCTATAAAAACAGGTTATGAGCTAATTTAGAGATTGTCGAATAACTCAGAGCCAGTCACAAAGTAACATAAATTGTTTTTATTTGGATAATTACCTGATGCATCAGAGTCTTCAAGAGATAACTCTACTGGATTATACTCTATTACATCATTTCTAGAGGATTTATTGGGGATGTAGACCATTTCGTCAAGCATATGAGCAGGATCACAAATATGCATCTCTCCTCCAGAAATTTCCTTCTTGATGTGACTTAGTTTCATTCTGATCTTGTTACCATCCTCTAAATAGTCTGTTAGACTAATTCAAGTAGTGCAGAAGGAGCATATCATATCTTTTTATCACTAAAATACGGTACTTTCAGGAGTTAAGACCCTAAATTGAGGGATCTCAACCTCTCTTAGGTATAGATAGAGATAATTCGCCCATTGTTTCTATGATAGACTTCGATATTTACTCGAAATAGTCCAAAATGTGGGAAATAGGAAAGATCTTCACAAATCAAAACAATTCAAAATATTATTAACTCTCTAATTTAATGAGAATACACTATTTACCTGTTTTCCCCCCTTTAGAAGGTTTATTTGACATCACTTTAGAATGATTTTCTTGATTTTTGAGGGTCTTGAGGAACATCTCCTTTAGCCTTCTTCTCTGGCTCCTTGATTTCCGGATATGTGCTTCGATCTTCCTCACCATTGTCATTGAGATATCCCTCATTTGGTCAAATATTTTATAATACTCCTCTTGAGGGACATCGATGAGGTCTAAGATTTTATCTTGAGCCATACAAGAGCTTTCGATAGCTTTCTTGATCTCATGGGGCTGGACTAGCCTAGAGTCCAGCTTAGATTTCACATTGATTTCCTTCCTTTTCCTCTTAGCATCCATTTTTGATCTTTTCGGGGATGCTTTCGTCATTTTTCTCAGTCCCACATTTTTAGCTTTCAACTGAGATTCCTTGTCTTCCTCTTTCTTAGCTCGTTTTAGCTTGGTAGGTTTCTCTTTGACTTCTTCATTGGTTTTCTTTGTCCTAAGTACTTCCTTCTCTTCCTTAATTTTCTGCCTTTTTGGCTTATTTAGAACCCCAGATTTAGCTGGCCTCTTTCTTTCAGTTTTCTTAAGAGTCTTTTTACTAAGAGATTTATGTTTTAGAGGAGTTTTTGACTGAGAAGGCTCAGTTTTGATAGTCTCAATAGCCTTACAAACTTGGAGAGGAGGGGAGATAACCTTAGTAAGCTCTTTCCTGATTCGCTTGGGAGCCCTCTTAGACGGCGATATCTTCCTGTTTACCTTCTTGCTAGATATTAGAGTTTGAATCATGAACTAGGAATGCCAAATTACCTTACTCTCTGCTTCATTTCTATAGTAGAGTTCTTTTCCTCTTCTATCTTGTTTGGAGATTTTTCTGTGCTCATGAATTAGAATAGTTTGAAATAAACCGAAATGGTTAGGGAATTCAAACTGAGATTTTAAAAAATCAAGATTTTTGATGAAATGTTTGAAAAAGTTGAATTTTTAGCTTTTGAGTACAAATCAACACCACAGCTTCTGTTGTATAGCTCCCTTTGAAAAGAAAGCATTAGCAGCCACTTAGCTAAGCCAGGTGGCTGCAGGGGATCTGGATATAATAATTTATTGGTGCTTAGACTCTGAAAACATTTTTCAAATTTTCTCACTCACCTGACATTATTACTCCTAAATTAAATTTTAATCTTTAAAAAATGTTCATTTTTTAGACCTTAAGTTGGGGTTTTGGGGTTTTGGGGTTTTGGGGTTTTGGGGTTTTGGGGTTTT